GATTCTATGTTCATTAGAAAAAATGCAAATTGTTTTTTTATTATTTGAATTAAACGACAAAGATTTATCTCAAATCGTTCAATCGATAAATCACGGAATGGACAGAGAGGCATTTAAAAAGGTTTGTAAAGCTCAATGGAGATATCCAGATGATCATGGATATGTATTTGTAAATACTAGAAAACCTGCGGGTGAAAGAGTTATGAACGATATATGTTAATTTTATTTTTTTAAAAATGGATTGGAATAATATTTTAAAAAGAAATAGAGAATATATCAAAGCTAAGAATAAAATAAAAACCCAAGTTGAAAATAACAGATTACAACAACTCGGATTAACGGAAAATCTACAGACTCTATTTCAACCCATATTAAAATCTCAAGAGGATATTAAAAAGAGACTCATCCCTCCTATAGAACCTACACCTCCTATAGAACCTCATCAAATAGAATATCCCATTAAAGATGATGAAATCATAATTAGGACATTAGATGATATAAATCGTCTTTTTTCAAACCCTAAAGCAGATTTACCAAAGAGTATTACACCAATCATTGATGATGAGGGATTATTGTTTAATGGATTTATAATTAAATTTAGGGCAAATTCCCCTATATTCAAAATCGACACAAAAAACTTAATATTTACATTAACGACAGGATTAATAGATTTAATGAATGGCGGGTATATTGGCACTGCCGATTACAAGGATTTACTAGCATACTCCAAATTTCTAGATGCAATAAGAAAGTCAGGACCCGAAACAAGAAGATTGAAAGCAGTTGAAACATATTTAAATAAAGTTATTCCTGATGAAGAGGATTCAGATGATTATGCAGATGATTATCCACCAATCATACAAGAAATAGACGAATTCGAAGACCTGATAGCTAGAGAAAAAAGTGGACAAGGTATAACGTTTTTATCCGACAACAACGAAGAATTGCTTAATAGATTACGAGTAATGTTAGCGGCAATGAAAGAAGGACATCGATCATACAGACAATTTAATGAAGTGAATTGTATATTAAAAAGACTCCTAGAGAAAGGTATCATAGATAAAAATGATTATAAAAGCGTGATTAAAAATGTCAAATAAAGAACAATTATTCGTCATCACCTCAAATAAATCAGACATTAAATTGTCTCTAGATTATGAGTACGAACTCGATCGCAATCAAGAATATGAATTGGGATTAAAGTATTTCTCTGTTTACAATTCTATTAGAAATATCAACGAAAAAAATAACCAAATAAAAATATCAACAGATAATGGAGTTACATTCAAAACCATACGTTTACTACCAGGAAGCTACGAATACATAGCCATTAACGAATACTTATCTGAATATGCAGGAAGCGTCAATGGTAAAAACAATATCGAATACGAAGGTAATTTAAATCTAAACAAAATAAAATTGATATTAAGAAATAATAGTCAAGTTGATTTCAACGTAGAAAATTCATTGAATACTTTACTAGGATTTGATAAAAAAAAATGTACACCCAATCCACTTTAGCACCACACAAAGCTAATATCGAGAATGATATCGATGTGATAAATATACATTGTAATTAAATAAACGGTGGATTTTTCAATAAATACAAACGTCAGATTATTTACAGTCTTCCAACATTCACTGTACCGATAGGATATAGAATTATAGAGAAACCATTTCAAACGACGTATTTACCACTTAATTCCTTTATGATTAAAGATATAAATCTGGAAATTAAAGATGGTAAAAATAGGTTTATAGATTTTGGTAACGAGGAAATTGTTATTCAACTTCATTTAAAACAAAAAAATTAACACTCTTCATTCTCTTCTTGAATGGTAAGGTAATCGAAATCATCAAATTCATAGTTTTCATCCAAACACATCTCATCTTTATTGTTGTAAGGATACATAATTCCTTCACTGTTTGGTGCTTTTCTCTTAACGAGATTCAGATAACTTCTGAAAACTTTCTTTTGTTTTTCATTAGGAATAACTATTCCATCAGTAAAACTTTTACGTTTCTTAAATTCATTCGTTACGTCATTTCCACTAGCTAATTGAATGTAGTCTTCTACCTTAATCTTATAGTTAGAGTAACCCTTAAACGTTTTCTTTTCTTTTAAAACACCATCGGAAGTTAGAATGATATTGTATTTTACTTTTGGCGCTAAATATAAACCAAATATGATTCCACCATCACCGTAATCATTCTTCCCTTTGCTATATTCGTTTTCAGACACCAACCCAGCTTCATTTGATTTATCCCAATTGCTAGACGAAATGTATAAACTATCGGTATCTGTATAGTATATTTCAGGCTTATAAAATCCATCTATGACGTGAATGAAATTGTTCATTATTTTTTTACTGAGAGATAATATAAATGCACCTAAATGAGCGGGTGTTGATCTAGTAAAATCCTTTGGAGGAACAAACTCTTTTTCTTCTTCATTCATCTCAACTATATATTGACTATCATTTACTTTTTCATAGCTTTTGACGTGTGAATCGAAGTTGGCTTTAAAAGTCGCTTCACTCATTCATAGATGTCTCGATGTATTTATATCCTTCTGAATAGATTTACCGTATAAGGAATTACCTAATAATTTCATGCAATTACTAGCTACCATATCTCCTTCTTTTTTGTATTTATTCCTTAATTCCTTCAAAATTAAAATATAATCTCTGTATGGTGGAGTTTTAAAATTTTCTTCGTAAACTATACCATCTAATATTCTAATAATTTTACCACCGGATTTCACTATTTCTTCTGATGTTCAACTGATGTTAAAACGTCGTGACAGAAACCATTTCTGAACCTGATTTTAGTGCCAGTTTCCTTCTGACCTATTCTATTCGTAAAAGTTATTTTATCTTTAGCTGGTATGGGTTGAAAGAACATTTTTTTTGGGATATTCAAACCAAACTTTTAAAATAGCAGTTCTAGGCCTTAATTTTTGTTTATTGAAGAGTTTCACAAATTCTTTTTCTTCTGGTAGAAACGCTCTTGCACTTTCCGCTTTAGGATATTCACCTTCTGTCATGGCTGAAGCGTACAAACCATTAGCGTCAAATGCCATTAGTTTAGAATAGTTCAGTTCTTTGAGTTTAGCGTGAACTTCCGTTTTATCTTTTGGGTTAACACTGTATTCTTTGAATAAATCTATTATTCCTTCAGTGTCACTTTCATTGTATTCTTTTAATATGGCGCAGATCTCATTCATTTTATTCGTTTCAAATGATTTTCGATTTGCCGAAACTCTTCCTCCTTTAATACTTTGTCTGAT